GAACTGATTACAAGGATCTACATATAACCTCCTCCCTGGGGGATGGACAACAGAAAAGTGGGTGAAGGGAGACATTGGACAGTGTAAGACATGACTAAATAATAATAATTTATAAATTATCAAGGGTTCATGGGGAAGTGGGGAGGGAGAGGGAGGGGGGAATGAGGAGCTCATACCAAGGGCTCAAGTAGAAAACAAATGTTTTGAGAATGAGGGTAACAAATGTACAAATATGCTTGACACAATGGATCGATGTATGGATTGTGATAAAAATTGTATGAGCCCCCAATAAAATGATTTTTTTAATTCCTCATTCCTATTGATAAAGGCTCTTTGACCAACTGCTTAGGCAACCATTCTCCATATCCTTTTCCTAACCGTTCTATCACTATTAACATTAACTCAATATCCTATAAGCCAGCGGTTCTCAATCTGTGGGTCATGACCTCTTTGGGGGGGTCGAACGACCCTTTCACAAGGGTTGCCTGATTCATAACAGTAGCAAAATTATAGTGATGAAGTATCAACAAAAATAATTTTATGGTTGGTGGGGATCACCACCACATGAGAAACTATTAAACGGTCATGGCTTTTAAAAGGTTGAGATCCACTGCTCTAAGCAAAAGTGTTCTCTTTTCTCCTTGCCCCCACTTCCTGGTAACCACCATGCTCTTGGTTTCTTTAGGTGAAGGTAAGGGATCCGGTGGTGCTGTGGGATAAGTGGTGGGCTGCTAACCACATGGTTGACCGTTCAAACCCACCAGCTGCTGTTGAGAAGAAAAATGAGACTAATTGCTCTGTAAAGATTTGTATTCCCATAAACAATAAAAAGGGTCACTATGAGTCAAAATCAACTCATTGGCACTGGGTTTTATTTTGTTTGTTTTATATAAGTTAAAAAGCATTGCTGGTGATCGCGAGGTGTCGTCGGGATCAGGTATCAGGCATCAAAAGACCCAAAACAAACAATCATATCAATGTCAACAAGGGGGGTCAGAATGGAGACATATGTACACAATTGGACATCCCCTCACAGAAGGGTCACAAGGAAGGAACTAGCCAGCCAGGGTGCAGTATAGCACCAACAAAACATACAACATTCCTCTAGTTCTTTAATGCTTCCTTCCCTCTCCCCTCACTCCCACTATCATGACCCCAGTTCTACCTTACAAATCCAGCTAGTCCGGCGTATGTACACTAGTACAGATAAGAGCTCCCAACACATGGAATCCAGGACAGATAAATCCCTCAGGAACAGTAAGAGGAGTAACGATACCATGAGGGTAGGGGCAAGGTGGGGGGATAAGAGGGAAAAGGGGGGAAATGATAAAATGATTGACATATAAAACCACCCCCAAACCCAGGGGGATGAACAACATAAACATGGTGAAGAGAGACAGCAGTTGATGTAAAATATGAAAATATCATTTATAATTTATCAGGGGTCACGAGTGTGGGAGAGTCAGGGACAGAAGGAAAAGAGAGGAGCTGATACCAAGGGCTCAAGTAGAAAGGAAATGTTTTGAAAATGATGATGGCAACATATGTACAAATGTGCTTGATACGATGTCTGTATGGATTTTTGTAAGAGCTGTAAGAGCCCCCAATAAAGTGATTTATTAACATTTTTTATAAAGTATGACTATGCTCTATAAACCTTCACCCAATGCACAATAAAGTTAAATATATATATGCTACCAGGGCTTATTATAAAAGAACATGCTTAGTTGCATCTCTACAATCAGTGGATGGCTGCAGACAAGTTCTCTCAGTTCTTGTCAGTCTCATTAGGGTGTGTGATAGTTACATAATCTGGTATCAACTTGTGAGTCTAGCCTGTCAATCAGGTTGCAGCTTGATGACCTCATTTGGAGGCGTGAAGGAGATAAATAGCTCACTGGAGGCCAGATACACACAGGCACTCCCTGAGAGACATTCCTGTTGACAAGACACATGGAGCCTAGAACCGTGGAGCTGCAAGGAGCCTAGAACCATGGAGTTGCAAGGAGCCACATGGAGAGCCCTGCCAACACTGAGATGCATCCACTGCCACTGGATCCACAAGACTTTCTACCCACTGGCCTGTGATCTTCCTGCCTTCCATGTCATTGCATGTTTTGCATGCGTCTGAAGAGGAATTTATAGATCGGTATTGGATATATGGGCTAATATGAGACTTATGAGCGTGATCGGGACTGGGCTGGGATGTTTTCTCAATACACAATTGCTCTTGTATATAAAACTCTTTTCTTATACACATGAGTGTCTATGAATTTGTTTCTCTAGTCAACCCAGACTAACACAGGATGCCTTCAGAAAGGATCCATCAAAACAGTGGTTTCCAAGGGAATCGGTTTGGTCACTTATATTCAAAGCAGAGATGTTAGCTCATAATCTTATGTTAGCTTCGTTTGGGGATTCCAAAGGGGTAATCTTGATCTAATTCCTCAAAGGACGCAAGACAACCGCAGGGCTTATTAGGAAGATGTTGCAAACATTGAAAATGGCATCGGTGAGAAAAAGAGCAGGGAAGTTCTGCAGAGGAATATTTTCAACACGGCATTATTATACTGCTCATTCTTCCAGGGGAGCAGGGTCTGTGTAGCGGAATCTCGTTGGGAAACTTTACGCCATCCACCGACAGAGCTTATCTCGCCCCCTCAAGCTTTCTTTTATTGCCCGAACTCAAAAGGAGGACTATTTGAGTTCCTCAGATGTGCCAAAATTCATGTTGATGTGGTGTTAAGTCAAAGAGCTCATGGAATGAGGGGCAGGGGGCATGAAGTTACAGTAGGAGGTGGGAAATCCAGCCTTAGGTGGTATAGATGGGGCTCTTGCTAGCTTAACTGTTGTCTGAGGTTCGGTTCTGGAAGCCATTGGTGCAGATTCAGAGGGGGCTGAGTCAGGGTGCTTGCTTCCAAAAGGAACTCTTTCAGGCCCAGAGGGCGGCTGGGGGCAGGATGGGTGGCTTTGGAAGGAGTTCTTACCCTCTTAGGAAGACCCTCAACGAGATGCTGTGCCGTCATGGCTGCCACAGAGGACAGGAGCACAACAGTCTGAGGGTGGCACAGGCCCATTCAGGGCTCAGTCTGTTGCACACAGGGCTGCTCGGAGTTGGAACCAACTCGACAACGCGCAACAACAACCCCCGCAGCCTTGGAAGGAGCATTGCTGGAGGAAGGGGCCAGCGTGGGGCTGCTCCACGGGAGAAGGGTGAAGCTGTCCCTCTGTCCTCTCAGAATCAGGTCTCATACAGGGTCACTGTGACACGGAGCCGGCAGAGTGGGAGATGGCCAGTAAAGGAGCCCAGTGGTACAGCAGTTACATCTCAGCTGTGAACCAAACGGTTGGCTATTCGACTCCGTCAGCCACTCTGCAGGAAAACGCCGTGGCAATCTGCCCCCATCACGATGGACAGCCTTGAAAACTGGAGGGGAAATTCTACACAATTCTATAGGGCCACTCTGCGTTCTAATAGACTCAACAACAACAACAGGTTTGACTCATGTTTAACAGCTCAT